AGAAACTGCCTCATAATGGACTCAAAGTGAACCAGTCCAGAGTTCAAATTCAAGGTGGCTTTGGCCAGATGGACCCATGCAGTACATCTCTTTGCATCAAGCCTTGTATTGGCCAGGAAAGTTTTCCTTTGGCAAATCTCTTGGCACTAACAGCTTAGAGTCTAAACTTGCTAGGAGACTTATTTTCAAGTACTAGCTCAGGATAATTAAAGCACATATCACACATTCAACATTTATTTATCTTTCTCCACCAAATTGGCTCTGACACAGCTTCATGATATAGGCTCAAGACAAACCTCAGGGCTTATGGGGCGTGTTTCATTCACTATCATTAGGAAGCCCCCTCGACCTCCCCCCCACTGCCAAAAAGCCCTGTTAGCCCACACCTTGAGGTTCGGTAGTGATTTTTCTTACTTTTATATCTTATTCCTAAACAGCTGAAACTTGGGATTGTCTATTTCTTCCATTTAATTACAGTGCATCTTCACCAAGAGCTCGCAGTACTGTTCAAATGAAGGCAACATGTACATTCTCTTCTAACACTGCTGGCTGCAATCAGTACTGCCACAGTTACAGAAATACCAAGTACGAGGGAGAAAATGTAATATGATGAAACAAAGGAGAAAAATACAACAGCCTGTCACAGAATCTGTTCAGGCCATGAAACGGCACACAGTGAAGACTTCCTTGCAGGAACAGATGTGAACACGCAATTGCCTTACCAAAGTATATGATCGTTTCAAGCATATTTTTACTCATTTCATTTCCCCAGCCTTTACCCTTCTCAAACAGCGAATGTTTTGCCCTGAACAACTTCAATGAACTATATAAGCCAACACAGTTTCTAAGGTAAAGTTTGTTTTAAACAAAACTGGAACAGTAGTTCATAATTCATCTCTTATAAGGTAGGAATCTTTAGAGTGTGCCTTATTAAAGCTAAATAAAATCGCACTAACTTTGTACCTATGGAAACACGTATGTGCCAGGAGTCATCGTGGCTGTCCCCACATACCCCGCCATCCATTCACCCTTGCAAGCAGGATATGCTTGTATGGATCCCATTCTCGTTATTGACAAACAAGATTCTACTCCAGGAGCCAGAACTCAGGAAATGAATGGGTAAATGAAGACCCAGACTTGGCTTTAACTGTCAAATCCAGTCCAGGGGCACCCCGACACTCCTTCCTCCTCACCAGCATCTGTCCCCCAACAGTAGGAGTCCCCCAACATTGAGTCCCCCAACAGTAGGAGCCCCATAGAAGAAGCAATATGCCAATTGCTCAACCAGTGTTAAAAACCATGCAGAAATCAGCAAGGGCAGAAGTGGCCATACCCCAAAGTCCAGCTTAAATCCTCAACTCTACCGCTCTCAACTCTACTGCCCTTGACCTGCTGGGCAAAGGGCAGAGAAGCAGTCACGGCTTACAGTTAAAGGTAGCTCTGGTCCCCTCTTCCTGCTTTCTGACCAGCTGGGGTTAGAGTCGGTGAAGCAGCAGCCTTTGGTGCGGTAGACTTTTACCCACACTTAAATGCTTTCTATTTAAACCATCTGCTTCCACCGCCAGTATTGTGGGTTGTCTAGCCCAAGGCAGCCCCCAAATTGGAGCTTCACACTGGTGAGCAGGCAGCTCAGAGCTGGAGCCACTGTGATGAGTCTGGCAAAGCGAGGTCCATAGTAGTGGGTCTGTAGCAGGTTGCTTCCAGGAGGAGGAGTAGAAAGGATGGAATGGGAGCAGGGAGGCACTTTGACTGAAGCCTGGGCTCAAGAATACCTGCGAATTTCACTCTCCCTAGGCCCGGAAGTAGTTGACTAATTACTGTCTGGGCAAGCAAGGAGTGATAAGTACAAAAGCTTTCTTTTTCCGTTCCTGAGAGCCACATAAGTCAAAATGACTGAACCCTGTTGTCAAAGAGCCGAGTGTGGCAGCGTGACACGGAGGTCACTGTCCATAGCTCCTTAAGAAGCGCTCTGCAGATGGGAAAGGGAGGATATGTAAAGTAGGGGTGTGTCAGAGGTAAAATATCCGAGGTACCCCAATCCTGGACACTTAACTCTTTCCTTCTCAGGAACCCTGTCACGGAGGTAGCCTTCCTGAACAATACATGTCTGCTCAAACTACAAGGCTTCAGGGACAGTCCTTCTTCCCTCCCTCCTGCCTTTCCTGGGTGTCTAACAACCCTCCCTCCTCTACCCCTGCCACGTATTTAAGAACCTAAAACTTGGCTCCGCTGGCCAGGAAAGGAGAGAATATTTCTACTTGCAAATCTACATAAGGCTGAGATTGAATTTAGTGGTGTGGAGGGGGGTAGGTAAGATGTTCCTAAATAGATATCTCCCCCCCCAAAAAAAAAAAAAATACACCGTGGGTAGGCTCCAGAGTAGCTTGCAACTCAAAAGTACTTTTTCCAGTGCTCCAGCCCAGTCACAACTTTGTGGGTGGCGTGGAGAAAATCTTAAGGACCAGCTTACTAACGTCTCCAGCGCTGGTCCCCAACCCCAAGTCTCCATTGCAGAGGTGGGGAGGGAGTCGCTGGAGGAACCAGCCCTGGAAAAGAAGTATTATGACACACTTCCCTTACCGGGTCTCTTTCCCAAAGAATTTTTTGTCAATTGAGACCGACCAATCCATCGAGCTGGTGGCTCCCATTCCCAACCAACAGCCTAAAGACCGGCAACACCACGGCTGGCTGTCCCTCCTCTACATCTCTGGGGGTCCTTCCAAAGGAGTCAGAAGCGCAACTTACGGCGCGTGTGTTCTCTTCCCTGAGCAATAGCTCAGAGATGGACACTCAAAATTAGAGCCTGATTCAAGGCGCCACAGGATTCCAGTGGAAAGAGAGGCGTGGGGGTGTCTCTGGTCTGCCTGGGGCCCCTTCGGGCCCTCAGGGCAGGCGGGCAGATATACCCCAGACCGCCAGAGCTCTTTCCCGAGTCTTGCTCACTGGGAATCCCCAGGATCGGGAGCGCATCGCTGGGGAACCCCTAGCTACTCAGCCTGGGAGTCGCCTCGAGTCCTACCCTGTGCCGGTTGCTCTCCTGGCTGGGGGAAGAAATGTGACCCGGCAGAAAGAAGTGTCCATTGGGAAAGTGTTTTTTAGGCTACAGAGCCCAAGCGCAAGCTGAGAGACCGCAAAGATCTCCTCCCCCTCGGCATCATGGGATGTAAAGCACCGGCACCTGGCGAGCCGGTGCGCGCTCCTCCTTGGTAGCGAGGAGCTCCTAGCTTCCAGAGCTCGGATCCCTAAACTTTCTGGGAGGGCGAAAAAGAGAGAAAGGAAACAGGCGAACGTTTCCAGGTGCGGGGACCAGGGCAGCAGGAGAGGTAGAGCCCCTGTGGGCCAAAACCTGCCTTCTCCCCGCTGCCACCTGAGCGCCCAGCACGTCTTCCCCTGACCCTCCCCATCAACTATCCGGTTCTGCGAGCGGGCATTACCTGTGTGAAGCTTGCAAACAGCCCAAGACATCCAACAGGGTTCACGCGTGCAGTTCCATGTCTGGGGTGCTGAGTCCAAGTCTAGGGCGAAAGGGTGTGCTGCGTTCCGGAGAGCGCGCGGGCTGGAGCTTTCCGGCGACTGGGGAGGCTGCCCAAAGGCGAGGGGGCTGGAGGCAGCGCGGGAAGACTAGGTCTTGCAGAGCAGCCCCGCCCGTTTCCTCCACTCTCAGTCCTGGCCAAGGAGGATACTAGGAAACTTCTCCCCACACTGGGAAGAGGATTCTGGAGTTCAGCACAGCTTCCGTAGACTTTAGGGGCAGCTGGACAGAGAGAGGTTAAAGAGGGCTCCTAAGTCACTCAGCCCCTACGCTGGAACGCCGGTGCCGCCCCTCAGCTCCGGGAGCAGACTCCTAAATCGCCTGCCTCCCAACGTCTTCTTTCCTCGCCACTTTGTTTCGGAGCAGCCTGGCTCCAGCTGCACCTCGTCTCGGCCAAATGGTGCACCGCGGGACGCAGGCGCCTCAGCCGGGGCCCTGGCGCTTCTCGGGGAGGCACGCACGCCCCCAAGGGCAGTAGCCCTCGGGCGCCGCGGGCAGCGCGGGTGGCAGGTGCGAACTCTCCCGCGGGTTTGCGGCTCCAGCCTTTCACCGGAACCCTCTCCAGCCGGTGCTCAAAAGCCTACGCTTCTCCCCTAGCCCCAAAGAGGGAGCGGCGCCCGGGACGTGCGCTCCAGGCTCGCCTCACATCCTGCTACCGCTGCTGCCGCTTCCAAAACGCGCCTAGAGTGGAGGGTAGCAGGGTAGTGGAAGTCACCTAGAGCTGCCTCTGGCACTAAGTGCTTGGTGCCTCCGGGCTGACTGGTAGCATCAGGGAGGAGGTGGGGATTAGAGAGAACCGCTCTGGCGCGTCACAGAGAAGGGTTCCTGCTCCTCCTCCTTCTCTTCCACACCCCTTTGGGTTCGGGAGAGAGGAGGAGTGGGAAAGGCTGCCAACCCCTAGTCCCGCATCCCCTGGTTGGAAAAAAAAAAAGAAGCGCTTCCCTCTTACCTTTCCCGGGAGGAGGAAAGCGCGTCCCGGCAGCGCCGTCTAGCGTCCGTACCAGAGCAGGCTGGCACGCAGGGTCGCGGTGAGCGCATAACGGTGTGCCCGGGCGTGGAAGGCAAGTAAAGTTTTTCAGTTCGCCTGGTCCCCAGTTCCACCCAAAACCCGCTGGAGGGGTGTCTGGTTCAGCTAGTTCACCTGCTGGGTTCCCCGCCGGCAAGAACTTGATACTGAAACACGCAGGTATCCTACTTGTATTCACAACGAGAACTTCCTGGTGCGGGAGAGAATTCCTCATCGTTCCATCCCTCCCGCGTTAAAGAGCCTCAAGACTCTGGGTTCTCCAGTCCCGCCCATCATAAGGTGGGCCGGAAGAGTCCTGGGACCCCAGGATGGACTCGGAAATAGAACCCGGACCACGATTGCTCATGCACCAGAGGCTCCCCAGTGATGTTGCTAATCTTCTGCTTTCCAAGGTCAGGCAGCCTAGGAGCTTCTCTTTGCAAAAGGGATAGGAGAGAAGGACTATGAGGAACCCACGGGGCCTGGATTAGCATCAGATAAAAAGTTCAGTTTGCATGCCAGGTATCGCCCACAGAGGGTTCCGCTGGGCTCACTGGCGCCTTGCTGATTAACACAGTTAACAGGATTGCTCATTTAACGGGTCAGCTGAGAGCTGTGCTCTAGTATTTGCTGCTGCGTTGGACTTCTATTAATTTGTCTTTCTCTGATCTTTTTCTAGCTGTTCTCCTTAGGCGGCTCCATCGCTCTGCATTAGCTGCAGAACGAGAGCAGGATACGGAGACTGGGACAAGTGGAAGCAAATGAGAGCTCTGTTCCTGGCGCACAGCAGAACCTCGCATTCTCAGCCAGCTTCCCTGCCAGGACTGTCCCCTGGACTTCTAAGTCCCAAGCCAGTACACAGTTGTCACTGGCCCGCAATCACCTCCAAGGCCAAGTTTATGCATTCTCTGCGCCCCCATGGACCATCTCGCCCATCAAATTTCATGCAACCCCAGTCTAGAAGATTTTTTCTGCATTTGAAGTTGTCAGGCAATCAAGAGAGGCCAGGTGTGGAAGGAAAGGTCCTTTTGGCAGGAACCAATACCAAGTTACCTTCCCAGGTTTTTGTTGTTTATAGGCACAGAGGAAAGGGGCTGTGCTTTTGAAACAAGGGGAAAAAATCCTGCAGTTTCTACTTCTGTTTTCTAACAACTCTTTGCCTCCCCCCTCCCCATAAAAAGCCCACTCTTTCCACCAGGGTCTAAAACAGTGCTCTCTTCTTATTTACTGCGGAGCTCATGCAAACTTCCATTGGACTGGGGAAGCTTACCTGTGCCCTTCCAGCTAACCAGCCTCTCTTGCATTAATGTTGCTGGAGCTCAAGGCCAAGAGTTTCCAACCAGTCTGGGACCCAAGCAACAGTAAGATGTAAGAACACCACCTCCTCCTGCCTCACCTTTCTCACTAGATGGCCCTGGACTTGATTCCCAACGCCTCCCCCTCACAGTCTGTTCCACATAAGTCAATTCCTTTTGGGAAATCTTAGAACTTTCTGTTCTGTGGACTATCGCCACTGAGGCAAAATCTCTGAGCCAATACTCCAGGCACTTATCATCTTGACTTCTCTCTCCTGGCACGAACCTCTACCCTTCAAGTGAATTAGTGTGAGTGTGGCCAAGCCCCCCAAGATGCTTATTCTATTAATACTAAGTGTAGGGGCAGGATGGGCACAGATCAGGATCTCTATGATCTGACCAGACAGAATAAGGAGGAGACCTGGAGCCCTCAGTGGCTTTACAAGCTTTTATTGAGTTTACCAGGTACACAGCAGGCAGGGGTGCTGGGGGGCTGGGAGGCCCCAGCGAGTCTTTATCCTTTCTGGGCTTTCTCTCATGGTCTCTGCTTCTCTGCTGGTTCTGTTCCCATGACGCCGCCCTTATAAGCCCAGTCTCTGCCCAGGTGTGCCCACCTATGCATGCCCACACCTCCAGGTGTCCGCCATCAGGCATGCATTTAGGACCACTGAGATCCATCATTAATCCTAATGGCGGGAGGGCAGAAAATCCTGATAATCATTTACCCCACACTAAGTGTTGGTAGAACCTTCGTGCTATGAGTGGGGACACAATGGAGGAAAGGAGCCCTCAATTGCTCAGATACACTCATCAGGTACTTAGTTTCTTCAAACTCAAGTTGGGTCAGATAAGAAATGTTGGTGCTGGGCCACCCTGGTGGTGCAAGGGGTTAAGTCTCAACACTAGGAAGCTATCAGCAGCCTCTGCAGCACGAGCTCAATCCCCGGCCAGGGAGAACCCACATGGCGCAGCAGACCTCTCCTGTCTCGCCAGCTGTTCCCCTCAGCAGTGTATTTCAGTAGATCCACCTGTTCTGCTCCCCACTCTGTGGTGAATCCTCTCCCGCCTCCCACTTCTGACCTGCACCCCAGCTCTTGTATTCATAAATATTTCTTTGAAATGCCGGTGCCCTCCCAGAAAGATACCCTTGATTGGGAGCTGAGGAGCACCATTTTCTTGAACACACACACACACAATGGAGCTTCCAACAAGCTGGGAGGGAGGAGTGGGTCATGAATCAAGTGCTACAAACCTTAAATGTTCTTATCAAGTTCTCGACGATTTTCTTCAATAAATATTTAGGACAATTGTGAGCATTTCATTTTTAGTTTTCATCACTTATGTTTGCTTCATCAGGGAGCAGACCTCTTCAAGTTGCTATCCTAAAAGCGGAGCTCTTAGTTAAAACCTTTGTGAAACGGGGATTGTAGAGGCAGGACTGGACCAGTGCAGGTTTTCTGATCCCAGGCAGACCGGGTAAAGTAGGAGTCAGAGTCCTCAGTGGCTTTTTGCAGGTCTTTTATTGGGGTTCACCAGGCATATGGCAGGCAGGGGTGCTGGGGGGCCGGGAGGCTGGCAGGCCTCCCAGCCCCCAGCAAATCCTCACTCTATCTGGGCTCTCTGGTGATCTCGGCTTCTTTTCGGCTTCTGCTGCTGCTTTCTCGGCTTCTGGCATCCCCGTGACACCGCCCTTAAAAGCACAGTCTTAGCACAGGTGTACTCACTTCAGGTGCCCGCCATCAGGCATGCATTCAGGATCACAGGGTTCCCTCATCTATCCTGATGGCGGGAGGGCAAAAAAGCCTGATTTTTAGCCTTACCCTACAGGGATGGAGAGCACAAGCTCTGCCCTCAGGAAGCAAACATTTACCAGAAGGAAGACGAAAACTCACAGGTCACGGTGGCATTGTTGAGAACCAGGAGAAAGTGTGTGTGGGGGGGTGGGGGGAGGCAGGGGGCCTAAGTTGGGAGGAAGCAGATAAGATTCTTGACTGTTTAAAAGACAAGTGGGGGGGCCTCCCCTGGTGGCACAAGTGATTAAGTCTTAGCACTATGAAGCTATCTGGAGCCACTGCAGCACGAGTTTGATCCCTGGCCTGGGGGATGACCCACACCCCTGGGTGAGACTGCAGACCTCTCCTTTCTCGTCTGCTACTTCCCTCAGCAGTGTATTTCAGTAGATCTCTCTGTTCTGCTCCCCACTCTGTCTCTGGTGAATCCTTCTGAGCTTCACGAGAACGATTCCTGACCACCTTGCTGTGAATAGCACAACTCACGCAATAATGCAGTTTCACATACAGCTTGGGAAGCACATAGGCGTCGAACATGCTGGCCTCCGAGATGTCCCTGACAGCCGCGGCCTTCACTATGTTCCTTATGACGAACTTCTTGATGGCCTTGTCCTTGGGCACGCAGCGGGCACAGCTGGTGCAGCAAATGGCCTGCACGTGGCCATGGCCCTTCTTGGCACAACCATTATTCCTCCTTTTCTTGGTCACCTTGGAAGCAAGAACCCGAGACAGGAAGAGTATAATTTGAATAAGGCTGTCAAAGAAAACCTCACAGGAAAATTATGATTTGAAGAACCTATATAAGGGATAAAGCCCATCCCCTATCTGGGGACAGTTTTCCAGGAAGAAAAATAGGAAGTATGAAGGCTGTGAGGCAGGAAAATGACCAGGAAAGAAGAAGAGCACAGAGAGCACTGTGGCTGCCACAAAGTGAATGACGTATAAAGTGGTAGGGTTCAAGTTCAGCGAAATAAGAGAGTGAGAAGGTGCAAGCATGAGCAAGTGTGGATGGTAGAACTTTGTGGCATATTTTATGAGAAAGGGGAACTGTCCATTGTGGTTTGTGGCCCAGCATCCCTGGAAAGGATGAGTTGGAGACCTGGAAATATGGGTTGGAATCAAATTGTGGGGGGCCTCAGATGTCAGGCTGAGGAGATTGGATTAACTCAGTGGGAAAGACTGAGGTTCCTGGGTATCAACCTTCAAAACCCAGACTTGGGCCTCCCTGGTGGTGCAAGGGATTAAGTGTCAGCACTATGAAGCTACCAGCAGCCACTGTGGCATGAGTTGGATCCCTGGCCAGGGAGCTACCCACATAGCACAGCAGACCTCTCCTGTCTTGCCCCGCTGCTCCTCTCAGCAGTGTGTTTCAGTAGATCTGCCTGTTCTACTCCCCACTCTGTCTCTGGTGATTCCTCTCACCCACCCCACACCTCTGGCCTACACCCCAGCTCTTGTATGCATAAATAAATGAAATAAATCTTTAAAAACAAAACAAAACCCAGACTTATAAGCTACTGAGATCTGAGTTGGTCAAGCAGCAAGGTCAAGCACCAGAAGGTAGGTACAGGCCAGAGATGACCATGGTCCTGGCTCTTCCCTCTCCCACATCAAGCTTTGACTGATTTCTCAGAGGGGAGGAGATCTCTATCTAATACCTAACAGCTTTCTTTGCAAAACTAGCTCCCGTGTCTTACTAGATTTTCAGGAAATTTCTCTTTACATGTCACCTAAACTCTCTTACCTTTGGTTTATTCATTAGAGAATCAAGCAACTCTTCCATCAATTTGGAAGAGAACATGGAAAAAAATAAGCTTTAGGCTGAAAAACCTCTGTTGCCCTCCAAGAAAGGAAGTCAATATTTATTTATTTTTATAATCACCAAGAAACCCCTGTCAAAGAAAAGTCAGATATCAGTAAGCATCAGCATATTTGCCAGAAAGGGCCGAGTCAGTTATAAACAGATTTCTAAATCAATTGATGGCCTTTTGGCCTTTTATCACTGAAAGATGAAAATCCTCTACATTATAATAAAAGAAAATCCCAATCATAGAACCAAAAAAAAAAAAAAAAAAAAAAAGAAAGAAAGAAAAAAAGAGAAAGAAAAAGAAAAAGAAATCCGGAACGTAAAGAAGCACTCTGACACTTAGGAAAATGATCTTCGGGAGCCAGTACTGTCTGTATAATGATGCTTTAAATTGAATGCTGGAGGTTAAGGTTTCTGGTTATGACACGAGTACTTTTGAAACACTGAGAAGTTGGAGCCAATCTTAAATAAAGGGAGCTCCATAAGGCAATTAATTATTACTGTGTTCTTCTAGATAAACACTCTTACCCAGCATTGTAGCAGTCTAAACTCTCAGCTGTCACTTCAGCTCATTTGTGGCACAAGGAAAACTGCTCTTTTTATTAGGATGCCCTGGAAACACTGTGTAATTGTTTAGTGTATTCTGGGTCATCAGAGAAAATTTTAAGTATCCTAAATATTAATTTACTATCAAGTGCATGGTGCTGCTGTGTCAGTATTTTGAAACTAGCTTATATATAACTTTTTAATAACGGGAAAGGTAGATTAACCAGCATGTTATTTTCTTTAGCCATACCTAATAGCTGATATTTTAACACAAGAAGGATCATGCTTTACTGGAAAGTATTGTTACAGAATAAGAACACCAGGATTAGTTTTGTCACTGCATGTCATGGACAGATGGCCTTGTAATCTGTTCACAATGTAATGACAAAGATCTTTTAACAAAATTTCAATACCCTATCCTAGGCTGCTATAGAAAAAATCCCATGGCGTGGGTGTTTTAAACAACACACATGTAACTCACAATTCTGGAGACTGGAAATCCAAGATCAGGGTGAAAGCATGCTTGGTTTCTTAATAACAGCATTCTTTTTTTTATTTATTTATTTATACAAGCACTGGGTACAGTCAGAAGTGCGGGAGGGTGAGAGAATTCATCAGAGCCAGAGCGGGGAACAGAACAGGCAGACCGATGAAGTATACTGCTGAGGGGAGCAGCGGGCAGTAGGGGAGGTCTGCGCGCCATGTGGGACCCTCGCCCAGTGTCCAGGGATCGAACCGGTGCTGCAGAGGCTGCAGGCAGCTTCGCAACCCAGCGCTCAACCGCTGCGCCACCAGGGAGGCCCCTTCTTTTTTTTTTTAATATTTATTTATTTATGCATACAAGAGCTGGGGTGTAGGCCAGAGGTGTGGGGAGGGGGGGTGTAAAAGGATTCACCAGAGACAAAGTGGGGAGCAGAACAGGCAGATCTGCTGAAATACACTGCTGAGAGGAGCAGCGGGCAAGACAGGAGAGGTGTGCTGCGCCATGTGGGCTAGGGGTTGAATTCCTGCCGCAGTGGCTGCTTTATAGTGCTGACACTTAACCCCTTGTGCCACCAGGGAGGCCCAGGAACAGCCTTTTTACTGGTCTGTAGTAAGGCCATCTTCTCCTTGTTTGCTCATAAGGCAGAGAGAGAAAGAAGAAACAAACTCTGGAGTCTCTTCTTATAAAAGCCCTAATCCCATTAATAAGGACTCAAAGCTTAAGAACGAATTATCTCTTCTTCAATTGTCCCATCTCCTAAAATTATCACGTAAGAGATTCAGAATTCAACATATAAATTTGGGGGCAACACATTCAGTCCATAACAAACCCCTATTCTCTAAAAGCATCCACTTTGGGCAGGCAGCTTAATTTTAAAATGCCAGGAGTCATTGAAACCCTCCACTAAGAACTTTCTCCAACTCCCAGCCCCATACCTGCTCACAGTACGAGTCTTCGCCACGTAGAAAATAAGGCAACATCTTAGCGATTTGAGTAGCTGTTATTTACTTCCCATAAAGATACCAAAGAAAACTCACACTTGTCAAAAAGTCACTAATTAACTTGCAAAAATTAAAATTTCATGTAGTTGGACTTACACTGCTGGTTATTTTAGAGCAAACACACTGAGGAGAAGCAGTGAAGCTCCGTGCAGAACATACTAGGGTAGAAATCAGAAACCTTGAGCAATTTTTCTTTTGCTGTTATCGTTGTTGTTTTTAAAATCCTGGTTCTGCTATTCATCTGTTTCTTGTTTGGTATCTCTGTTTTTCTCTCTCTAAATTGCCTTGGGAGGAGGGGGTGGCGAATATTGTCACCTGACAAGAATATGGTACAGAATAATAATAAAAAAAAGTGCCTGCAAAGCATTTAGAATGCCTTGGAGATAAATACCAAGTAGCTACTATTATAGTATCATTAATAAGCTAAAAATAATAATGAGACACATTTAGTGAAAATGCTAGGCTAACATAAAAACACAGAAGAAAGGATTTGGACTTGATATTTTCTTTCTCCTCTTCCTAGCATTGCTATTCCATTATGAATCACTGCAGACACCCATCCTCAGGGCCTCTGAGTCAGTCTCCTTGTGTGCTGACCAGGATTCAAACTTGTTTCTCTTTTTCCTTGTTGTGGTCACAGGCTCTAGAATTGTGATCATACATATTCACTCCAGATCAATAAATCATGATCAGTTGGGAATCTTTCTAAATCTTTCCATTAGAAAGTATCAATAGGGCCTCCCTGTGGTGCAAGGGGTTAAGCACCGCACTGTGAAGCTGTCCACAGCCACTGCAACACGAGTTTGATCCCCGGCCAGGTAGCCACCCACATGGCGCAGCAGACCTCTCCAGGCTCGCCCGCTATTCCCCTCAGCAGTGTATTTCAGTCAGATTACCTGTTCTGTTCCCCACTGTGTCTCTGGTGAATCCTCTCCCCACCCCCGCACCTCTGGCCTGTACCCCAGTTCCTGTATGCATAAATAAATACATCCTTAAAAAAAAAGAAAGTATTAATAAACAGAATTTTCTCTTCTATATGCCAAAACTTCAAACAAGAATGCTAATACCTTTTCAGCTATTTAGAACCTCTGCCACTTTAGATTGTCTTTCATTTCTCTTGTCAGGATTATGACACAAAAGTGTTATGCTTTAAATTATTTATCATGTCACGTCTTAGTGTCATCCCTTCTTTTAGCTGAATTAAGAGATTAGGAACACTGGAATAACCTATAGACTTTGAAATATACCGTAAAGTGAAATTATTTTTACTGATAACTTTGATTTATATTTTAATTTTAAATGCACAGATAAAGTGGTATCATTAAACATACTTTAACTTTTTATAATAAATGAATGGTACCTTAATTATTATGTTATAAAGTAAGGGCACATAAATTATTCATACATATCTACTGCAAATTGAATTTTTAAAACTAGCTTTATTTTCCATATTCTCGTCTCATCTTAGCCACTAGTGGAAAATAGTCCATTTCACAGCCACTGCTAATATGACACACTTGGCAGTCTTTATTCAGAATAGGCTTAAGAGTGAATGAAAAGAGAAATGTCAATGTTGTAGAATATAAATCAGATGAGAACATACATCCAGAAAGATTGAACATTTATGCAATGACAGAATAAAGAATGAATTCTCAAAACTCTTAGCATTTGTTAAAAGAAAATTAGGCATGCATATAGTCTAGATTTTGTTGTTTTGGGTTTATTGACTTTATCGGTTATTCTTATTTAACTCATTATTTGCTAACGTTGCACTAAGGACCTGCCTCTCCCTCCCTGTGCGCTCTAACTCACCTGCACTTAGCTCCTATCCCCTGAGGACCTCAATGAGCACACAACTCTCACTTTACTCCTAGTTAGGTGTGAAGAACAGGCAAGGGTGAGGACCAGGAATCAGTGTTGTGATGGAAGCTATAGATCTATCCCCTTACAAGGTCACAGCTTTATCTCCCTGGTGTTTACCCAGGCTGACACAGAAACACAGAGATGAGAGAGACAAAGAACTTATCGAAGCCCTATCTGCAGGACCAGTTGTTTTGATATAGAAGCTCTTTCATTTGCATCACTATGCAGGTGGGTGGAATCTTTACTAAAAAATAATCAATTTGGTGCCTTGCCCAGGGGGAATCCAGGTGGCCCCCTTGGCTGCTTGAATCCCCATTTAGTCACCTCACCTGGATCTTTTCTCCCCCAGCAACACCCCACACCTGGAGTCTTTTCCTTTCTCCTCTCGCCCTTCAAACTTGACCTTCCCCTTGCTCCAGCCCCTTGGATCTTTGCTGCCCATTTGCAAACTGAGAAAGTGTTCAGTTGATAAGGGGCTGTTGTGACGTGCGTGGTATTGAATGCCGACAGAAGCCCTGTCGTTATCTTCAAGAAAATCCCCGGAAAGTCCAGCTCTGTAGCAAGAAGGGCAATCATTTTTGTGGGAAATTGGGCCCCTTCAATCATATCCCCCACAGTGCTAGATTACCCAAAGGCACACAAAGCACTACTTAAAGCATCAACAAATCAGTTTTCCCCACCTACACCCTTACCAGGAAGAACAGATTCTGAAAGATGTTGGTGTTTGATAAATAAAGGGGAAAAAACTTTAATTTAGCCATCTGGGAGAAAATTAGAACTTTAAAAGCTTTCTATCAATTATTTTCAGATTTGGCATCTTTATGGGGAGAGGCATAACACTGTCCCTGACCCTCCCTCCCCACCCCTGCCTTCCCACCTGGTCCTGAGACAAGGTGAGAGAAGGTGAGCTGTTACAGTTTGTAAGGGCCGGACTGGGCACAGGTGCAGGTTTTCTGATCCCATGCAGACCGGGTAAAGGAGTCAGAGTCCTCAGTGGTTTTGCAGGTCTTTTATTGGGGTTCACCAGGCATATGGCAGGCAGGGGTGCTGGCTGGGGGCTGGCAGGCTGGCAGGCCTCCCAGCCCCAGCAAGTCTTTACTCTATCTGGGCTATCTGGCGTTCTCTGCTTCTGCGTCTGCTTCTCCTTCAGGTTCTGCTGCTGCTGGCTGGGGCTGCTGGCGTCCCCCCGTGACGCCACCCTTAAAAAGCACAGTCTTAGCTCAGCTGAATCCCATCTACCTATGCCCACACCCTATTCCAGGTGCCCGCCATCAGGCATGCATTCAGGACAAGGATCCATCATCTATCCTGATGGCGGAAGGGCAGAAAAGCCTGATATTTTCTTTACCCTACACAGTTATTGCCACAATTCTTTCTCTAGGATGCACGCAGGAGAATGTGAGTGTTTGGATTCCAGTGCAGGCACAGGGACTATATTCTAGCCTTTTTTTTTTTTTAAAGATTTATTTATTTATTTGTACAAGCACTGGGTACAGTCAGCAGCGCGGGAGGGTGAGAGAATTCACCAGAGCCAGAGCGGGGAACAGAACAGGCAGACTCATGAGGAACACTGCTAAGAGGAGCAGCGGGCGTGGCAGGAGAGGTCTGCGCGCCATGTGGGACCCACACCTGGCAGCCGGGGATCGAACTGGCGCTGCAGAGGCTGCAGGCAGCTTTGCAGCCCAGCGCTCACCCACTGCGCCACCAGGGGAGGCCCTATATTCTAGCCTTTTTAATGCTTTCAGCCTCTTTAATTCTCATCAGAGTGCCTGGAATGCCTCTACTTGGCTCCTGGGATATATGTCAGTGCCTTAGTGCCAAACCAAAATAATTTAAGTACAATTGTGAAGGAGAAAATCATTTGGTGATGCCACTAACTCTGGCCTTCCCCACAGATGCCTCTGTCCCCTTCAGAGCTTGCTGTCCCTAACTGCTCAGTTGAAACTCATCAGCTGACCAGGTTTTTACTTCTCCTTTCTGTATTTGAACCACCCTTCATCTTTGTTCCCCACAAACCATTAAAGTAAGAACTAATTTGGTAAACTCATTTCTAATAATGAGTTTGAGGGGGCGGTCATTTGCAGAATTAACATGAGCCTGGAAGTCAGATAAGCTCAAATTCAAATTCTAGCAGCACTAGCACATGTGAGCTGTATGACCTTGGGCAAAGTAAGTAATCTCATTGTGCCTCCATTCCTTATCTGCAAAAAGGGTTTAATAATAATCATACCAACTTCATTAGAAATTGTTTTAAGAATTAAATAAACCTATGACAAGCACATATCATATTGGCAGACATAGATTTAATATTGTTAGTTTCTTCCTCCCCAGTGATAAAATAAAACACATGTATATTTGCACAGTGAAGTTACAATCTTTAGTTTTGCATTCAAACATCAAATACTCATGGTCCATCTGCTATGTGACAGGTACTCTTTCAGGTTTGGTGGATTAACGCTGAACAACATAGAAAACACCCTCATGGGGCTTATATTCTAGTGGAGAGAGATAGACTCTAAAAATGAATAGGTATGTACATAACATGTCAGATGTTGATAAGTGATATAGAAGAGAGATAAAGCAATGATGAGGAAATAGGTTGTGCAGGTAAGCAAGGAGATTTGCAACATTAAAGAGATGTTCAAGGTGGAAAGACCTATACAGCTATCTGGGGAAGAACCCCCAGGCAGAGAGGACAGCCAAGTGCAAAGTCCCTCGGGTGGGACCTTGTCTGGTCTGTTCAGAGAACAGCAAGGGTATCAGTGTGGCTGGAGCAGAGTTAGTGAGGGGGACAGTAATAGAATCTCAGAGACGTAAGAGGGCAAGTCAGATCTGTGGGTCATAGTAAGGGACTGGGCTCTTACTTTGAGTGAGATGAAAAGCTTCTGGAGTGTTTTCGAGCAGATCAGTGACATGATCTGACATACATCTTGAAAGTCGCTAAGTGTGTTGAGATAAAGCCTAAGGGGAGAAAGGTCAGAAGCAGTAATCCAACCAAGAGATGACAGTGGCTTAGACGCGAGTGATAGAAGTGGAAATGGAGAGAAGACTAGTTGTGATGTATTCACCACGTCAACTGGTGATAAATGCTTAATTTAGTGGAAGACAGAAAGACT